TCAAGTGACGCAGAAGCTTGATTTTTTTTGTTGCGCACGTATTTACATACAAATGTTTCTCACAGATACAGATAGCACACAGCACAGAGCGCTCATACCTTTACCGCATACTTAACGCACTCGAGTGACAATAATTGAATTCATTATTACCACAAAAAATTTAAGAAAAAGAACTGAAAAAGGCAAAACACACAAAAAAAGAGGTCTTAAAGGGAGTGGAAGTTCGGGGAAGCGTACTACCGCTTGGCTAGGATTAACAATGGCGGGTAATTAACCTGATAGATCCACTGGCCTTGGGAACCGAACTCACTTCGAGTCACCGTCTGTCACCAATCCAAGCCAGAGACCAGACCAGCGCCAGAGGCAGCACCGTTCGATTCTGTTACCATTTTTATTTGGCCTACGTGCGGGTTTTACTTATTAGACTTCTAAGTCGAGCTCCGTCTGCCTAATTACCATATAGTCGAACCACCATCGACCGATAGGACCGACTTCTTAGCCACAAAGAGCTATTCTTTGTGCGAGTATACTCTTGAGGAGGGTATTCCTCCACATAGAGTACTACTGTCAGGATATCTGATGATTGTTTCGTGTTCAAGCCAAGTTCTATATACAGCTAGAAATATCATATACCATAAGTTACATCCACCTGCAAGAGTATCTACACCTTCGACTTTTAAAGATATGCCTCATATTGACATGATCTTCGTGTCGCTTTGAGGATAAACTTTTTGCAAAACTAAAGAGGAAAGAGGAATGGAAAAAATCTTTATCAGCGGAGGTCAACAAACTGCGGATAACGTCCCTGTCCTCTGCCTCTCTCCCTCACCCTGTCCCTCTCCCTATCCCTGCCCACGGTAACATCCGTAGCGTAGCTGTAGTATGTGGCTTTCTTTATCAGATAATTGAGTTAAAGGTAAGCAAAACTGCGCTAACATTACGTTTAACGTGGCCAACACAAACACGTGTGTGTGTGTGTCTGTGTGTGTGTGACTCAAGAGCCATAAACTTGGCACTATGCTAACGGTAATTTCCGACCTCATAAAAGCCCATGCTATTGCATAGCTCTGATTTCCATTTTGTACTTTAACTATTCGATAAGATAAACGAAGTATCATTTATAGTTACACAAAGTTTGAAAGTTAAGCGGGAATCACATAATTTTAGTTAATTTTTGGAGAGTAAAATCAGGGGAATGCGTAACCGTGGAATGGTTACAATTCTGCAAAAGATTACGGGGAAAGTGGAATCAAGCTTAAACAAATTGAAATATCCAAATTCTGATTATAGCTCACCATAAATTCACGTTTTCCACTGAACTTGATCACATCCGATTGAAGTACACTTTAGACGTGTATTTTATTTAAATTTTAATCCAATAATCCATTGAAATATGAATCACGTTGACTCTGTACCTGATTTGATTTTATTATCGCAATTTTGGTTCCGTTCAAAGGAAGAATCAAAAACTAATTGAAGTACTGTGTCTTTCACTTGCGATGCCACAAATCACGCGATTCAGGGAACCACACAAATAAAGAGTAAGCAGAAAAAAACGTAGGAATAGCAAGAACTAAAAACCGCGCACTAGGACAGACGTACAGAGAGAGAGAGAGAGAGATGACAGTCGAACCGAAGGCGTCAGAAACTGCACTGAATGGGAAATGCTGGAATCGAGGAATCGGCCAGAGCTTCGCATAAACAAACGTCGGCACATACGCAAACAAATGTAAATACATATGTACGTACGTGTGTACATATGTATGAGTTTATCTATGTATGCATTTTAAATCATAAAACGTTAAGCTGCAGCTGTCTACCGTCCGTTTTTAGCAAAACCGACAGCAACGTGGAAATACATATAAAAAACAAAAGCATTTCCACAGGAATGATCGTACAATAGCAGATTAGGAAAGATTTCACAAGCCCTAAAAATTGCCTTGCTCCTCATTTTCTGCTCTCTACTGTACCTACTAATACTGCTACTATATCCTAAGCTTCTGATTCCTCTTCCTTATTTTCAGCCCTCGCTACACTTGTTCTTCTTCTTCGAATTCGCTGATGCTGCTTCTGTTGTTGTTTTGTTCTCGCCTCTGAAGGAAATTTGCTGACAATTGCAATAGATTTCTTTTTTTTGTATTTTCTCTTGCTTCTCATTTCGTTTAACGGTTGAGACAGAGAGACCGACGGTGCTCAGGAAAGAGGGACAGAGTAAGGTAGTCTTATTTCAATTTACAACCAAGTGACGAAGTCTCACAATTCAATGTTTAAAGTTTTTATCACGTTGTGGGCAACAAGAACAACAACAACAAAATAAGCACACACACACACACACACACACATATAAGCGCTCTCAACACAAACAAACAAATGGAGCAAATGCAGGCAACAGATGCGGGTGCTTCACGAAGGGGGGGAAGGTGGAGAGGGTGCTGATTGGGGGGCATGGACAGGCAGGCAGGCAATATGCAAAAGCCACCGTTTCGGCGGGTCCCACAATATGGTTAATATGACGCGACAGTTCGCTTAGTCAGCCCGCTGCTCGCCCAAGGCGGGCGGTTGGGTGCTGGAGGGGGGAGCACTAAATGTTTAGTAACCAACTGAAATAGTAGCACTCGAGTTAGTATCGGTTCATGAAAAACGAACAACACCAACCACTATGGCGACAGCAGCAGTAGAAGCAGAAATAAAATTGAAAAAATAACACAGAAGAAAATGGGTACCTTCGAATGCCGAAACTTTGGATGCCCTAACAGATAGAGATCTTTGGAGTTTGGTTGGTAGATCTAGAGGCAAAAAGTTATTACTTGACAAATAAAAAAAATAAATATACATATGCATACATAAATTTATTATGAGTTTGCAAATATCTGCTAAAAATCATAATACTCTCTGAAAGAGTATATGAGAAGCATTTCGGTTTACATAGAGTTTCGCATGTAGAAACACGACTTGCACTTGGATTTGGAATATGAATACATACATACATACATACTACATATACATATGTATGTATGGTTGGCTGGCAAGTGGGAGCGGGGGAAGTGGTAAGCAAAACGACGTCAGCGTAAACTGATTACCCCGAAGATCTATTGAGCTGCACAAGCGGCACGTACATGACGTTTTTGGGTTTGTTTTCGCCCAAGACCAGCAAAGAGGAATGGAAAGCGGGAAGGGAGGGAGGGAGGCAGGGAGTGTGACTATGGGAACCTTCGTTTCGGGAGTTTGGTTCTCAACTGTGTAGAAACAACAACAAATACATAACTGCGCGATTACTCCAAAGTTCTAGTTAAAACCGAGAGCATATAGGAAGTCAGCGGTAAGGTTTAAATTACAGTTACCCCAATACGATGATTATGAAATCAGTTTTGAGCTTGCTAGCACGGTTCTCGAGAACTACTTGAAATAGAAAGTGGGTGATGAAGAGAGAGAGAGGGAGAGAGAGAGAACGAGAGATTCACACTGATGAGCGTGCCAGCTGATGTTCTTAGACAACGGTTCTTCTGTTTTCAGGACTAGCCTTCTTCTCGAGTAAAAAGCTTCCCGTGGTTGGCTGTCTCGCTTTATCTGCTGCTGTTTAATCTGCATCTTCACTTACCGTTAATCTCAATCGCTCAATCATCTCTGAGGGCGGCGGCTCTACGCTGCTCCGCAGAAATTAGCGTTGTTTTTTATCGCAGCCGGCAAAACTATTACTGTAATAGCACTCACATTCCATATAGTTCGTATACGTATATGGGTGTACATATAACACCCACCACAAAACTGCACGTTGTGAAATTTAGCTACCAACTAAACCAAACATTTTCTGATCTACATAGAAAATGAATCTTCCAGAGGCACACTCACGTTCCAATACACGCGCAAGTGTCAGCGCCAGCCACCACACCAAAACAAAACAAAAAGCGCACATAACTTCACTCCAACTTGGAATTCCAGCAGACTTTTGCACGAAAATGAACACGTGCTGCATTTGCCCCATCCAGGACGATGGTAACGGGGCGGTTCGGGGAGAAGAGACGGAGAGCTGCGAGGGCTTGGTCTCTGGCTTGCAGCCACAGCCACAGCCGCAGACAATAACAAAAGCAAAGTTTGAGTGCAGTGGGTGACTCACTCACTCACTCGCTCACTCACACACGGGCTCAGCCGCAATGTCCCAAGGTATATTACATAGAAGGTGAGTACTGAATTCAATCTGTACATTTGCATATCCATGCATATGATGGTGTGACACAAAGAAGGCGAGAAACACTGACCCTCAAAAGAGCGACTGCCCAACCCCACATTTAATAGACCTTGCAATGGGCCCACTATAAAGAGGGGACATAAGGAAAGAGCGCGCGTCGTTTGGTTCCGATAAGAGCATTTACTACGCGCCCGATTTACAAATTAGTATGAGTCGGCCGCAGAGGCAGAGGCGGCTGTGCCAAGTTTTGCCATGTCTAACTTAGTTGGCCGCCTGAGACTAAGTGAGCGTGAGGGTGTATATGTATGCATGTGAGTGGGAGTGGGACTGCAGCTGGCCGAGAGCCATGGCAAAGCGAAATTTTTGCGGTGCGTCTGCCTGAAACTTTAGTGGGCCCGGCTAACTTTTAGCAAAAACTTTTGATTTGAGTACCTGCCACTAACTAAGCAGGGGCACAGCACAGGCACAAAAGCAGTCACAAGCAGCCAGCATACGCACACACACACACACACACACATCACATGCTCTGCTCTGCTCTAAAAGTTGCCATTGGCATTGCCATTGCTGGGGCCATATGCCCCCATCGTCCGGGGGCACAAAACCACGCATTGAACTATGAAAATCAGGAAACTTTGCAGACGGAAATTTCCAGCAATGCATTTGAACAAAAATATAAAAAACAGAGAAGAGATGACTTACCGCACCGCTCGCCATCGCCATCACCATTGAAGTTGGAGTTGAAGTTGGAGTTTCCCAGAAGGAGCCACAATTTCAGTTGCAATTTACAGAACCGGCACATTTACAACAACGACGAAACTTCAAAATACCGCAAGAATCAAAACGAACAGCTGTCAAAGTGCGCGGTTCAGAAGACTAGTGTTGTATTAGGGCCAAAAACAGCTGATTGCAGCCAGGGGTGCACGATAACCGCCGTTGTAAATTTAAAAATGTAATTTCTTGCAAATAAAACTAGTAAAACACATCAGTTAATATTCAGTTGCGGTGTCAATTCAAATGCCTCGTTTGAATTGGAGGACACATCCAGCGTCTTCTGGGATGGCTGAGTGCTCATCAGCATGTTCGCCGTGAGCAGGTGAAACCAACGGAAGCGATTCAGATAGTTGTCAACGCCTTTACTGATGAAATAGAGCTTGAGCGGACGCATGCTGCGCCGCGGATGCTTCGGCTGTTTCCGCACAGTCCCGTCCGGGCACTCCACAAATTTGGTCCTCCTGTGTGTCAACATCAGGTCCAGAGCAAAGGCGCAATGTAGGTAGTAAACGGCAGTTGCGTACAGCGCCACCGTGGCATTGTCCCGGCAGCAGATATAGTAGCCATGCCAGTTCGCCCCCTGACTCTTCAGGTACAGCAGCTTGTTGCCGTGCAGCGCCAGATACATGTGAACAAAGATGGTGACTAGATGCAGGGTGCCAAAGAGTCCGCTGAAGGCGGACTCCAGCTGCATTGTCGGCTTCTCGGCATAGAACATCCCGATGATGGCCAGCAGGCAGATGATGGAGGAGCCGCCGTAGGTGGCGCACAGCAGGAATATGTGCGGTATGCCTTCGTCCTGGAAGCAACGCCAGTGAATGTAGCAGCAGCAAAAACTCAGCACCAATTCGAGCACCTTGAACAGCAGCCACACGGGCTTCTTTGAACGCATCTTCTGACCCCCTTCCCCCACGTGAAATCAAACAGAAGATTCTATCGGGACAGGACAAAGAAGATATATAGTACATTCAGATACATTAAAATCGAGATCTACAGACCTACTGCGATCTACTGCATTGGCTAGAGCAATACTAACGATACACATATGGATATGGCGGCCTCTCTACTTGCGCCAGTACTGGGTGAATCTGTGGATCTGCTCGACGAGTGCCGGCATAACTGCCGTAATGGATATGTCCAGCAAACTTTGGAGATGCTGAACGGCCTCCTCGTCGGTGAGGCCCAGCTGGAGGTTCTCCTCCACCTTCTTGACCGCCTTGTCCGGCTCGAGGGCGATATCCGGAACCGTGGCATCTACCATCAGCGAAAAGAGATTGAGCATGACGTTGGCATGCCTTCGCAGATGCAAATACGCAGTATAGCACTGCTTTCGGAACTCATGATGATGATCGGAACTGACACCGCCCATGGCCTCGACCATTTCCTTGCTCAGCTTCATGGGCGGCGGCATGGGCTTGGGATCGCGTCCCAGAATGTAACCGAAATCGATGTGGAATAGCTTGCCATTGGTGGTCAGCAGAAGGTTGTCCAAATGCCGATCACCCACACCTACAGACAGATCGAAAGCGTAAGCGGAATGCAGCTGAATGGGGAGAACATGCAGAAAATCTTACCCAACAAGTAGGTGATGACACAATAACCGGCACAGCTCTTGATGTAGGTGTCCATGACCTCCGCGGATATGCCGTAGGGACCATTGTCGCAGGGATTGTGTCGCCGAAAGAAGTTGTGGATGTTGCCCTCGCGGGCCAGAACCTCCGCCACGGTGCACGACTCGACGTACTGGAGGAAGCCGTGCTTGGAGCTGGTGGCCAGCACCTTGTACGGCGTGAGCTTGAGGTCCAGATTCTCGCGCCGCAACAGCTTGTCCATCAGAGTTATCATCTGCAGAATGAGCTGGTCCTGGCGCAGATCATCGCCGTGCTTGAAAATGGCCACATACTCGTGCTGGGCAATCGATGTCACGAACGTGAGCCTGTCCAAGAAATAGAAGAATAAATTTTAGCCAGCGATTCTTTGTATCGAGGGAAGCCGCCTCTTACTTGGCCGGCATTAGGGCGCTCTTGAAGAGGGATGTGCGCATGGGCACAATCTTTGTGATGTAGATCTCTGGGTCCAGGGGAAATGGTATCGGCTCAAAGTTGGTAAAGTTCATCTTGAACATATCCTGCTCGGCGAGCAGCTTCTGGAATTTCTCCGTCTTCTTGTTGCGATTCCCAGGCTCCTTGGCCACCTGTTTAACCAGCTTCACCAGCTCATCGATGAAGCGACGCTGCTTCCGCAGATTATAGAAGATGCCCCTCAGGTTGAAGTTGCCTTGAATATTAAAATCCCCAATTATATGGGGGTTATCCCCTGAACTGATGGATCACCTACCATTTTCCAACACCTTGAGGAACATCTTCAGAACCATGGCGTACATGTCGTGGGCGCGCTCGTCCTGCTTCCGCACCGATTCCACCTCCTCCACCTCGATGGACAAGTACCAGTAGAAGTAGTTGGCCAGCGTGGAATTGCTGCAGGCGCGCTGGATGAGGAATGTGCAGAGATTACTTGGCACGCTGCCAAAGCTGATGCCCTCGGCCAGCATCAGAGTGTTGGAATTTGAGTCGGAGACAAGCGAGGCGGCATTTGCATCGCCCCGTGCTGGCGTAACCGGAGTTGGAGTACTGGCCTTGCTGGGCCCCGGTGCCGATCCCAGTCCCAGTCCCACTGCCAGTCCTTGCACCGAACTGCTAGACGGACCAGCGCCCAAGCCAGGACTGATTGAGATGTCACCCTTGATGGCGGCCAGTGCGCTTGCGGCCCGCTGATTGGCGGGTATAACCGAAGAGTGGAGGGCACTGCTAGTGCCACTGAGATCCGAGATGGTGCTCTGGTCCATTAGAGAGCCGTTCTCGTCCAGCATGGACCGTGCCACATCCCGCTCGGGGAAAATGCAGCTGTGCAGATGGACAATGTTGCGGGGATCCTCGTACTTGAGGGCCTGCACCAGCTGCAGCAGATACAGCAGCAGATCCTCGTCGGGTGCTTGGGCCAGACGACTGATGGCATACTTCCGCACCTGCGGGTGCGTGAAAGTTGGACTCAGCAGCTCGAGGGCATCCTCCACGTCCATTGGGGCCCAATTAGCCAGCATCCAGAGGGCCTGCATAACCTCATCCTCCAGTTTCCAGTTGATGCACTTCAGGAACTTTGTGAGGGCCTTCTTGTGCGACGACAGATAAAAGCGAAACTTCCACAGCAGATCTTGTTCCTCGCTGGTCAGCACATAAGTGGGCGGACAACGATACACGATCGTGTGCAGTTGGTCGCGAATGCTGAGATTCAAGGGAGGATTCCAATGTAAATGCATGAAAGGATTGCTGCATATTCATCTCAAATACCTGGCTGTAGGCTTGGCGTCCCGATCCGAGATGCCAGAACGCTCCGAGCGGGCCAATCGATGGTGCTTCCGTTCAACCAGATTTTCCTGAGCAAAAAAGGATAAAAAAATAAGGGGTATGCATTGATTGGGGGTTACTCCACACTGACCATTTGAATCTCCGAGTCGGGAACCGAGACCAGCTTGGGTTTGGCTGGCAATTTATACTTGATGTCGCCCTCCGGCTCAAAGTAAACCACGGAATACTGCAAAATGAACCCAAAAATTAAGCTTTTCAATGCAGGAAGATGGCGATTACCACTCACATTGTACATGTCGTCCACAATGACGGCGGGAAACTCAATCATCAGGAACATGTAGTCGGACATGCGCTTCTCCCGCTCATTGATCACCTCGATCTCTCGGAATGTGAGACGATCCAGCCAGTCCACCTTCTGCACCTGTCCGTTGCGATGTTTTTTGGCCAATTTTCCGAGGCGCTGCATCTGCGACTTAGACGATTCCTTGCCCTTACCGGGGGTCTTGCTGGGGAAACTGCCATCGCCCTCTACGCCCAGCCAGACGCGCAAGTCGTACATGCCCTGTCGGAACATGCCATCCTTGCCGAATACAGAGATCGCTGTACCGCCAATGACGGTAGTCTGGCCGGCGCCCGAGCAGTCCAGGATGGTCAGCACCAGCATGGCATTGCGGGGCAAGTCGGAGAACTGCAGGGGCAGCGACACCCACTCGTTCCAGCTCCAGCGTTTGCCAAACGCCTTGTAGGAGCTGTAGACGGGCAGGCAGTAGGGCCGTCCATTGTTGTAGACCTGCAGGCGCACCTGGAACGATGGATACTCCTCCGAGTACAGGCCCGAGAAGCGCAGAATGGGATCCTCAAGCAGTTTCTCGTAGTCTGGCTGCCGTTTTTTACCCTCCAACGTCCCACTGAAAAGACAATAGAGAATGATTTCTCGATTTTTCCAGGTCCCGGGCATGCCACTCCCTTTCAGCTTACACTTTGATTTGCACGCGCTCGTGCAGTGCGCTGCTGTGTATGTAGCGAAAGTTATCATCGGGCTGATCCATTTTCCAGACGCTTAATTGTAAATTTTCATTTAAATATGCGTAATTTCCGCAGAGCAGCAACAACTATAAATTCACCCACAACACAAAACAGCTGATTCAGACTGGCTCCGCTACGAACTAGTTCCGTTACACCGCCGAACTGGTTCTGCGGCGCGCGTGTTTTGTCAGCTGTGGTTGCGTTTACGTTTAGTTTGTTTAATTTTCAATTTAAAACTCGACCTGCGATGGCCACAAACGCCACAATAGAGCTGGCGCTGGACCGCGTGGACTGGTGTGCCCTGGCCGAGCGGCAGGACGTCTTGCCGCGCGTCTACACACCCGGAGAAGTTGTCATGCCGGAGGCAGGCTTCATGCGCGGCCACGGCACGTTCGTAGAGGATGAGAACATCAAGGCCTCTGTGGCCGGCGTGATTGAGAAGGTGAACAAACTGATCTCCGTGCGTCCACTCAAGAGTCGATATGTGGGCGAGATCGGTGACGTGGTGGTGGCGCGCGTGATCGAGGTGCAGCAGAAGCGCTGGCGCGTGGACACAAATTCCCGCCTGGACTCCATACTGCTGCTGTCATCGGTTAATCTGCCCGGCGGAGAGCTGAGACGGCGCTCCGCAGAGGATGAGCAGATGATGCGACGCTATCTGGACGAAGGCGATCTCATTTCCGCCGAAGTTCAAGTGAGTATCCCAGCAGTTATGTTGGTCCTCTTCAGCGGAGCTTATTGAATTCCTCTTCAGAATATCTTCGAGGAGGGCACGCTTTCGCTGTACACCCGAAGTTTGAAGTACGGAAAACTGTCCCAGGGCGTACTCGTCAAGGTCTTCCCCGCGCTGGTCAAGCGTCGCAAGATGCACTTCCATAATCTGCCCTGTGGAGCGTCCGTGATCTTGGGCAACAACGGCTACATCTGGATATCGCCCCCCAAGAGTCAGGATCAGGAAGGCGGCGAGGGTGGCTTTGCCCAGAATCTGGGAGAAGCGGTGCCACGAAACGAGCGCGAAGTGATAGCCCGCCTGCGCAACTGCATCCTGGCCCTAGCAAAATGCAAACTGATGCTCTACGACACCAGCATACAGTATGCCTACGACGAGTCGCTCAAGTACGAGGCCCACGAACTGCTCCAACAGAACGTCATATACGATATCGGCGAGCAGACGCAGGCTCGTCTGCGGGATGGAGATGAATAGCCCGGAATAAACGAACAATTCGAAATATTCCTCCAAACTCCGTTTTTTGAACTATTTTGGACAGGTTGGCAGGGCCAGTATGTCTCGCCAGTGTGTCAGCACGCTAAAGTTTCGCCTGGGTTGGCAGCACTGCGGGGTTCGTGAAAAGAAAAGACGCCTAGAAATTGTCACTGCTTAAACCGTGTTATTTATTTGACGCGAGTTTGTTTACCGTGTTTGCGGTATACTTATATTATTATTCCGTGTGTTTTCGTCGTGAACGCTCAGGATGGAGGACATCGTAAGAGCCCGTGAGTCGGAGCTAGTCAAAAAGAAAATCTGCCGCTTCTGCCTGACGGGGGAGAAAATTGCATCGCTTTTTGCGGAAAACCCCAGCGTCAAGTCAACGGCGTCGCTGCCCCTACTGATAATGGCCCTCACGTCGACCGAGGTAAGTAGGGAATTCATTGGAACTCATTTCCGGATCGGATTTGAATCGGGTTCAAAGTTGCACTAACAGCAAACCGAGAAAGAACTTGGCTAAGACAATGCTTGGGGTTTCTGAACACACTGCGTTCGTGGGGGGGTCTTGGCTAAGGGAACGGCGAAAGCCCTTTGATCATTAAACATATAAATTGATAAAACCATGTGTTTGTTGTTGATTCCCTGCACTTTTTGCCTGCAAATTGGGTGAAAATACCATTTTTCACTCAATATTGCCACAACTGTACGCATACAAACACAACATTTCGGTGTGCACAGACACAGAGGTCAGCTGTTTGGCGCGCAGACACAAATACGAATTTATTTTCTTCAGAATTCATTTTTATTCCTATGCGTATAACACATATATGGGTGTATATTTGTATAAATCTTCATTGTATATCATCTTATATAATATTTCTGATTTATTTATGAGTATCAAATATATAGTGGTGTATATTTCTATAAATCTTCATTGTATATCCATCTTATATAATATTTGTGATTTCCCGATTGGCAAGTGATTATTATACATATATATATATATATGATATATGATAATTGGGATAAAATTAATTTTGTCAATAATAAAGCTAAGGGCTAAAACTGAACTTGTAGTAGCATGGAATCCAAAGTGACGAATGGGGGGCGTTGAACGTATCAGGCGGCGGGTGAGGAGGTGGATATATTTCAGCCAGCCTTATTGCCGTTGGGTTTGTCGCCGAAGCGCAGTATACGCGTCAGCATGGAGGTGAAGCACGGTATCTGCTTCTGGCGATCCATCATTGGGGTAACCGGCACGTTCGACTCAAAGTCGATGGCTACGCGCTGACTGACAAAAGTGAGCAGCGTGAGCAGGTCGTATTTCTTGGCATTGCTATTCAGCTCCTGGATGAGTGACTGCATGTACCACGAGCCGTTGTTTATATTGCGCCAGGAATAGTAGCCTGCAATCGCATGTTTAGTAAGTAACTAAATAAATAACGTTAAACCTTATCGGTTTATCCATACCTGGTATCGTCGAGTAGGAGAAGAGAAAGTCGGCATGGACAGGTATTTTGTAGCCCATAGACGAGTCCCCATCCGTTTCAGTCACGCCCTTCTCTAGCATCACGCCCTCGTCCAGGCCATCACCCTGGCAGGCCTGTATGAAGAACAACTTCGGCTTGCCCGCCAGCGTGGGGCACATCTTGGCAGTGAAGTAGTGCCAGATTTGGTCCAGCTTGTACTGAACATCGTTGGCATAAATGCAGCCATGCTCGCCATGCGACAAGATGGCAATGGCCAGGCAGTCGCTGTCCGTATGGTCCAGCGCGGCGGCCTTCTCGATCTGTTCGCGTATGTTCTGCCACTTGCAGTCCTTGTGCACTGACACATCGAAACCCAATCTCTTAAAGGTCTTGCGCAGCTCCTCCGCATCCACATTGGTACCCATACGCGCCCTCAGCGTAGGTATCTCGAAGAACTCATGATTGAATATAATGGCCTGACCGCGATGTTTGTGATTCATGTTGTACTCGCTGGCATACCGCTCAACGGGCATTCGGGCCACATAATTGTTGATCGAGGGGGGAGGAATACTGAAAACAAGATCCAGATAATTTCAATAAGCCATTCAATAGGCTATCACCACCACAGCGATAAGATTAGATAACAAATTTGGGTCTTTCGCTTAATTTAGAATTTTACCGTCAATTTGGACAAAGAAGAAAGCAACAGAAAGCCTTGGGGACCTCATCATGCCATTCGAAATACTTCCTCCTCGGTAAGGGTATACAAGGAACACACAGGCAGACCCGCACTTTATATACACACTTATGTGAAGGGAACGCGAGAGCAGTAGCGAGAGAGAGAATGAGGAGAGAGCAACACACACACAATGCACATGGACCTTACCTCGCTGCAGCCGTTGCACCACCAACTCCGGCGTTGTTGCCCTCACAGCCTTTGGCATCGGTACTATCACCAATGCTGCTGCGATTGACGCCCGTTCCATTTGAACCGAGAGCAATAAAGTTCCTAGTTATGCACTCGTCAGTCATTTTGCTGCTTCTGATATCTTCTCGGGGGAGAGCGACTCTCGCGGCCGTCGTCGTCTGATATTGCAGTGCAGTCAATTGTTTGTGTGGGTCTGTTCTCCTTGTTGCCAGCCTTGCCTTTTGTTCTCAGCGTCCGTCTGCCTGTGACTGCCTGCGACGCCCTGCCTTCTATTGTTGCGCCCTTCTTTCGTACCCAAAAGAGGCCCGTCAGTCAGGTTCGGCTCTTTGATTTTGTTTATTTGTAACTAAATTCAACACTACCGCGAAACCAACAGCTGTTTTTCGTTTGTTTTATATTCCGACGATTTGCACTAACAATTGAATTTGCACTGGGAAATGGCCAAATATCCTTTTATGGCTTAGCCGCGTTTAATCAATTAATTAACGGAGGTTAAGCGTGCTCCGGCGCCGCTCACGAATTCTCGAGGTGGGTTTGTGTTTTGGCTGTTTGTGTGTGTGCACTTACCGCCAAAGTAGGGATGGATTTAAGTAATATCGATGTATCGAGGAACGAACAAATCGATAGTGGAACATTCGATATTATTTGATGTATCGTTTTATTCAAATAAGTTATTTCAGGTAAAAAAGTTGTAGATTTAAATGTTATGTTGTCTTTTTATTTTTACAGGTGAGCGCCGATGATCAAATGCCCAGCTATATTTGCCTGGACTGCCACTTGCTGTTCGAGCACAGCTACCGCTTTATGCAGATGTGCAAGCGAGCTGAGACAGCTCTCCGGCAGTTTCCGCTGACAGGAACTCTTCCGGCACCGCTGGCAAAACCACGTCCTCCGACGAAGACACCTGCGGTCGTAAAGAAGGATGCTGCAGTCCCCGAACGACAGCCCAAGAAATTGCTAAACACCCTGGCCAATTCAAAGACTGTGATCATTGAAGATGTCCAGGTTTTGGAGACCAGTTCGTTGGCTAAAAAGCTGGGCGGCATAGCCGCCCCTTCGATTTCCAAGTCGTATGAGATGAAGGTGGACAATAACCAGGAGCTCTCGATGGACGATGTGCAGAATATGATGGAGGATATGGCCAATGAACTGGATGAACAAATATCGGCGCCAGCACCACTACCAGAGGTTCCATCGCCACCTGTTCAGAAGAAGTTGCCAATCAAACCGAAGGTTCTGAACAAGCCCTCCGTTCGGATATTGAATAAGGGCGCCATCGTTGCTGCGGAGCCCGAACTGGCCACGACCCAGATCAAACGTGGTCGAGACGGCAATGTGGCAATTGTTGCGGAAATTATAGGTCCAAATACTGCTGTACCCCACCCAAGTGAAGATGCTGCTAAGGACGCTGCTCTCGTGGCAACCAATGTCTTCTCCTGTCCTGATTGCGAGCGCTCCTTCCCCCTTTTGCAGCTGCTCGAGATCCATCGCCTGAACCATACACGCGCCCGCAGCTTCCAGTGCGGCGACTGCAACAAGGCCTTCTTCTCCAAGTACGATCTGCAGAAGCACAAATTTATCCACACCGGCGAAAAACCCTTCGCCTGTAGCGTCTGTGACAAGGCGTTCACGCGGCGAGCCCTGCTCCATCGCCACGAGAGCTCGCACACGGATCTTCCCAAGTTCATATGCGTGCACTGCGAGAAGCCATTCCTATCGCGCGAGGATATGATGAAGCATGCCGAGCGCCACACCAAATCGCGCCCTTTCCGGTGCACCATGTGCAATAAGGCATTTGCCTTTAAGCAGGGCCTGGAGCGGCACGAGGTAAGGAGGCATATGTGCGTGAAAACTTTAACTAAGATTTGAACTATTTATAGGTCGTTCACAGCGTGGATCTGCCTTTCCCCTGCGAGCACTGCCCAAGCAGCTTTGTCACTGCCAGCAAGCTTGCCCGTCACCTGGTGGCCCATGCCGGAAAGCGAGCCTACCCCTGCAAATACTGTTCCAAATCGTATATTCTCTCCCACCATCTGTCCAGGCACCTGCGCATGCACAAGCAGGATGCGGGGGCCTCGTTTGTCTGCAGCATCTGCAAGGAGTCGCACCAGAGCTTTAACAGTCTCATAGAGCACTCGGTCCGCCATGCGAATGTGTCTCTAAAGTGTCCGTTGTGCAATGAAAAGATCAATGATATCGGTGAGGTGGAGAAGCACATGACAACGCACAAGGAGGGCGAGAGATTTGCCTGCGAATTTTGCGACTTGATCTTCCTGAGCTCAGATCGCCTGCAGAAACACATCGAAGATGAGCATGTTCTGGACATGGACATGTATCAGAATGATGGCGACAGGGTTTCGAACCAGAGTGATGCGGACCCAGATATACTTGTAAATTGCGCTGAGCTCGACGAGGAAGAGCAGAAATATTTGCTGCAAGAACTGCTGCGCGATGAACCCGTGGGTGATGATTCGTCGTCCCCGCCGCCACCTGTGAAAAAACGCAAAGTGAATCCACCAAAGGAGAAGCCAGACGCGGACACTGAAGCCCTTGTTTTTCCCAAACGTACACGACAAGCACGGATTTCAGATCTCGTAAAAGATCAACCCGAAAATTCGCAGAAATCCAGACAACAGGCTGCTGCGACTAGGAAGAGTCCTCCTGTAGCTCCTGCCAAAAAGGGACGTTTGCTGATCAAAAACGGGAATTCATCGAAAAATTCTAGGCAATAATATAACATTACCCATAAAAACTTAATTATAGCGTACTTATTAAACGAACCGCATCGACTTTGGCCTGAAGGAGCGTTACGTTGTTTTAGTTCTTTATTCAAGGATCCAACCGCAGTGTTTGTATTGGTAGCTTGTTTGTGTTTATGTGTGTGTGTATTTCCGCCTTGAGTTCAATTTAGATTAACATTAAATACAAGTCTCCCACAGCATCAGAATGTGTGCATGCGCCCGGCCAGCAATAACCCAAAAAAAGTCCATCCTTCACTTCACCCCCAACGGAATCGCGACTAAGCGGGCGTCCACTTAGTGCTCATAGCCATCGGGCAAGGGGTTGACATGGGGGTTGTGGAACAGGCTCTTGTTGCCCTCGCCCCAGGGGAAACGCTTCTCGCGACGACGCAAGTAGTCGTACTTGACGAACTCCTGGCGAGGATGGTCGTGCTCCTCCTGGTGCTTCAGATAGGCATTGAGCATGCACAGGCCAACGGCCGGAACGGCCACGAAGAAGGAGAGACGCTTCCAGACCTTGTAGCCACCTGAAAGGAGTCGCAAATGTTTAAGGAGAGCCCAAATCGATCCTCTTGCCTAACAGCCAAATTACATAACCTTAACCCCACAAACATTGCGAAATTTGGTGTTTGGGACAATGGTAGGATATTTACCCGAGTGCTCGCCGGCCACGGCAGCAGTTCCAGACATGTTCCGGGCCGCAGTAGCGCCGAATTGGCGACGAATTGCGTGGTTTAGAATAGCAGACATATTCTCAGCCGATCGATCCCAATTTCTCGAATGAAAATTTTACTGTTTTGACGTTTAGTGATGACAAGTGTGACCGTCTCATATGCTGACAAACCGAACATAGCCCACTTAAGCCCCCTAAGGTAAATGGCGGAAAATATTAACGATTGTGAGATTCATGCCATCTTTCCTCTGCACTTACAAAAACCACGATATCTTTAACCTAAATTGCGCTAAAATTATTAGATTTTTATTATTTTCGGTGGAATATTAAAATACACCCTTGGCTTGCAATGGTTTAATCGTTCTCCATCGAGGATTGGAAACCATATTCAACGATTTTGATAGTCCCTGGAATAATACTAGCTAGATAGATCTTTCAGCTCTGCCCGCATCATTAAGAAATCGGTTAAGAAATCAATTTTCTACCTGACTGGGTTGTTTCAAAAACTTGTTGTTTATCATAGTATTTTCCAGTATTTTTACGCGTATATTGTCAGTATATTTACGGTATATTTTGAAACTGTGAGGTATATTTCTAAGGGTCAGACCGTACACTGTCTGGACCAAAACAATCTGGTGGCATCGCGTAATTTCTCCTATGATATTAAAATTGTATTTACAATATTGTTAACAAAGCAAAGTGCTCAGCTCAGCTTCCGTTAGTGACGCGACACCGCACGAGCAACATCAGCACCGCTGAGCAGCCGCCAAGGCCATGCATATTGTAAATTGAATTGAAAGCATGCGAAGACAGTGAAAAATATTAAATTAGCAACAACCCGAAGTACAAAGGCAACCCGAAGAGCCAAGTTTCCTAACAATTCTCATTAGACAATAAACCCTATTATTGCCAATTGCGCTCCTTCAAGTGTAAGAACGAAGAGTATTATTACCGCGAAACGAATCGAACCGAAAAGGAATTTAATTAACAAATGGCTGCCAATAACTTGCGACAAATCCCGCTGACATGCAGCGGACACACGCGTCCAGTGGTGCATTTGGATTTCAGCGGCATCTGCAACAGCGGATACTTTCTCATCTCCGCTTGCAAAGGTAACCTATGCGATAAACCGTCCTTGGGTTATTTATAGCCTGCCATCGACGAAAGATGCAGCATCAGCAAATTAACAAACATATGTATGTACGTGCTACGTACTGTGTATAGACCTGATTGAGCACTGTCGTCTCGTCTAGCCTGGCCTGGCTGAAACCTTGACCCAAATGTTGAATCACTTATTAATGAGCGAAACCTGTTTTGGCGAACCCGAACCCTTTTCCCACATCTCGCATGCAATATATTTTGCATTCTTTGCCTTGAGATGTCTCTCTGTCTGGTGTCGGTGTATGCGTGAGTTGCTTTCGTTAAAAAGTTGCATTTATGCGGAAAAAAGCAAATCATTTCAATTCCAAGTTCAAGTTAATTTTTGCTTTATCGCCATTTAACGTACTGACTGGCTTCCTACCCCCTTGTTTAACAACTTTTCAAAAACTTTGCCCGTTTTGTGCGTACAGGAAGCGCCTTGAAACTTCTATATTTACATTGTGTGCACGCCGCACGATGCTGTTGGCGAGAGAGTTGTCCGGAATATGCGGAATGCTGAATTCTCTTTAAAACGGGAAACGATAGATCGATCCATTTCCTCGTTGGGAATATTCTCAAACTTCAACCAAAGGGAAATCCATTTGCCGCTGAAATGTATGCGCAAGTCACATTTACCCTCAAAACCATTTCCAAAATCATTAAATATACAATTAACTGATAACCGTTTACATTCTAAAATGAAATGTTGTTTTAATTAAACTAACGATCTGTGTCCCTGCCTGAAAACTGAAAACTGTGTGCAGGCCCCCCTCCTGCTGGTCCGCTGCGTCGAGAACGCTGTGAACTTGGGAGCTGCTGGCTGTGCTGGCTGATGGCTTGCATGATTCCGATTCCGTTTCGACTGCCGCCGTCGCCGTGTCAGGTCGTTGGCATTGATGGTAGTCATTGAGTCAAGGTGGCTTCCGCCGCTCACACGATTTATTTATCAATTTATACATTTTATGGCGCGAAATGCAATTGAGAATTCTGGACGTTTCTTGTAGATGGCAGCCCGATGCTGCGTCACGGCGATACCGGTGACTGGGTGGGCACCTTTGAGGGGCACAAGGGTGCCGTGTGGAATGCCACACTCAATCGAAATGCAACGCTAGCTGCCTCGGGGGCGGCCGACTTCACCGGCAAGGTGTGGAATGCGGTGAGCGGAGCCGAGATCCACAGTTTCCAGCACAAGCACATCGTGAAGAGTGTGGCCTTCGACGCGGACTCGGAGAACATTGTGACGGGCAGCAACGAGAAGCTGGTGCGAGTCTTTAACCTAGAGCAGCCCGAGGCAAAGCCGGAGGAGTACAGTGGACACGCTGGGGCCATCAAGCGGGCACTCTTCTGCCGCGACGACAAGTGCATCGTCTCGGCGGCCGAGGACAAGACCGTCCGCCTGTGGGATCGCATGACGGGCATTGAAGTGCAACGCCTGCAGTTCAATAGCCATCCGAACAGCCTGGAGATCTCGCGCGACAACCACATACTGACCATTGCCCACGGCTCGTCGATCAGCTTCTGGGAGGTGGACACTCTCAAGAAGCTCAAGGAGGTGAAAGTGCCGACGAATGTCGCGTCGGCCAGTTTGCATCCGGACAAGCATGTCTTTGTCTGCGGCGGCGAGGACTTCAAGATGTACAAATTCGACTACATTACAGGCAATGAAATAGGTATATATCTACAGGAATATCTGTGTCCAGTAATCAGCTTTATAATCATTCCATTCTCCTTCAACAGAATCATTCAAGGGTCATTTTGGTCCAGTGCATGCGGTCAAGTTCAGCCCCGATGGCGAGCTCTATGCAAGTGGATCCGAAGACGGCACCTTGAGGCTGTGGCAGACCACGGTGGGCAAGACATACGGCTTGTGGAAGTGCACAGAGCCCAACGAGCTGAACAACTCAATGAGCTCGCCGCGCGAGGTGTCTGCAAACTGATGTTGGAGAATTACCAGTGGCTGCTATACGGCGCAGACGATGCAAAGGAGGGATACGAGCTATAGCTGAGATCGATTATCATTAAACAATTTTTGTAATGGGCTACAATAACGATACTTTATATTCCAACGCTGAACTGTCATTGGCATTAAATGATAATCACACAAAACTATATTGTGAAATGCAATAGAAATAAATAACTTAAGTTTCTCAAATTGTGACTCGAGTGCGACTGCAGCTGCAGCTTCTTAGATGTGTGTTCCCGTGGCCCAGCCATGCAGGTAGATGGTGGTGAAGTTGAGCAGGGGTTCGCCCTGATGGACGTCGGGACGGTTCTGTAGGTGGTCGAACCATCTGGAGAGGTTCAGATAGGCTTCCTTTTCCACGGGCGACAGGGATTTCTGCAAGATATCAGATAAGTTAAGTGGCAGCTTACAACAAAAAGGCAGAAGGAACACCCACCACAAGATCATAAATGGCATAGTAGACAGCCAGGTCGGCCAGTGTAATGAAGTGTCCCACCAGGTAGGATTTGCTGGCGAACAGCTTATTCAAGTCCCCGAGCAACTGCTTGGCCACATTCCGATCCCTGGAGCCGGGAGCCACGTAGAGCACAGAGAACTCTATCCACTGATAGACCTGGGCCTCTACTTCGCGCGAGACCTTGCTGTTTTGGGCCGTCTCGGACTTGGACTCGTTGGCTAGACTCTCCAGAATTGTGGAAAATCCAGCCACGCTCTTATTCTGGCCACTTGTGCGCGTTACGACCTTCGCAATAGAAAATAAATTGATGGATGCCACATCAATTGTCGGGCGCCAAATCATATGCGTACCTGTTCCTCGTTCAGCTGAACTTTGCCGGGGGCCACGCCCAGGCAATGGGCAATCTTTTGCACTTTTGCAACGTCGCACATGGTAATTTTAATAAAAATTGTTTGGCGTGCAAAAAACTATAAAACTAATCTATCGATAAAAGAGCTGGAGAAACATCGATGTCATCGATGTTTGGGTTTACACTGCAGAATTCTACAAGAAGCATATTATTATTAATATGTTTGATCTAATGATAAAATCAGTTTAAAGTATTTGCTTAAAGGATATATTCTAGGTCCTTTTCCCTCCATAATTGTTACGCCACTTTAGTTGACACGATAGGCAAAACAGGGATAAAATATTTGGAAAATTGAACGCCACCACTAAACTTTGTGTCACCACTAGGTCCCTTTGGTTATCCTTGTAAACCAAACTGCACCATTCCATCCGGTTTCTAAGATTTTGAAAAATTGCCCTGCCTGGACAATAATAATATAATATATAAAAATATAATATTGATAAAATATTCGGAATATTTAAAAATCTATCGATGTCATTTATCGGAATTACTTAATTAATTTAAATTAATTAAGTTAATTTATATAATGCCTCGTATGTGACATCGTACTGCAGAAGAAATATAAAAAAATTTGCAGAAGCCACCAGCAGCTGAATTCAGAATTTAAACAAATTAAATAAATAATATTGTATAGTAATACTATAATATTAGTACACTAATATAATCATAGTATAGTGTCTTACAGCGGAAAGGTATTTGAGATCCAGAACAATGACGCCGCAGACAACATGCTGCCGTACATTTGTTTGCAGTTGGAGCACAAAATGGTTGAGGGTATCCAAAAGATCGGGGCCCACACATTGCACACCATTCAGTAAGGCCAAGCATTTTCGTTGCTGCAAGGAAAGCTTTATATTAATCCTAGATGGAATGGCGATTGGCTACTTGCCTCATCCTGAACTTTGTGGTTGAAGTAGAGAATACCATACACCTTGCCCATATGCATGGCCAGCCACAGCACCATGTAGATCCACCTGACCCAATCAGCCAGCTCCGGAACGTCAATGCCCTTGTAAACAAGGAACAGATTCAGGTTAAAGTTGAAAAAGCAACCCACAATCAGAAGGACAATGGAATACTGGTATGCTGTATTGACCAGTTTGGTGAAGCGCGTCAGTTCAGCGTGCTGCAGACGCAGTCTTTGCACCTCCCACCGTCGTGGACATGGCAAGTGTTGGAGCTCCGATTGCAGGGATTCAGTGACTGCGGCCTGGCGCCAGGCGATGCCCTGGAGCAGCACATAGTACTGGATAAAGGAGAGGCTACTGATGATGTTGGGCATCACAAAGCTGTGGATGCTGAGAATTGCCTTGTAGACAACAAATCTTTGGCTACAAATATCGATGGCAAACGCCGAGCAGGCCAATACCAACACCAGCGACAGCTGAACCCGCAAAAAGCGCTTACTCTGGCGGCAGTTGATACTATATCCCCTCTCCAGATCCGACTTCACTATTCTGTCAATTACGGCCGGAGCTCGGTGTCTCCATTGAAATGTAAGGATCAAGATTGAGGCACTGTGCACCACGTAGATGGCCGATTCCATGGCGTTCAAATAGCAATCAATGGAAACCTTGTTCAGTGTGATGAGCACGAATTCCCAGTAGGAGGCTAGGCAGAACCAGCCGTAGCACACGGCCATCCAACACAGATGAAGATGGCGGTAGACTATTCTCTGGCGACCGGGCAGAACAGCAATGGGCGCGGTGTTGGCCAAAACAGAAATCAAGAGTAGCCAATGCAAGGCTTTGTAGAGACGTCTGGTTTGCTGATGAAACGAAGGATGACTGCCATGTAAGGGAACATTCTATCATTTCAGTTTCAGTTTATTAATCTTTACGTACCCTTTTGGCAGTCTTTCCGCCGTCATTGGGTGCTTTGGTGGCACTTTCTTCGGCTTCCCCATGTCGACTGCTAAGGACATTAGGAAAGCCTCCATTTCAACTGCTTTGACCTGTCAAAAGGACATTAATCTATGCAGCCAAATTATGTTTCTGCTGAATTTTATTATTCATTAACAAAACTCCTTTGCCGATGAGCAGTTCAATTAGCAATCGCTGGGGAAATCTCCTGCTGACCATTAGCCGCTGCCTGGCCGTGGCTCCCGCTGCAAGGAAGGAAGGAAGATTTGCTCGATGGATCCACTGTCTTTGGTGCTTGGTTTTGCTGGGCTACGTGTGGACTGGCTGCATCTGGAAGTGCATTGTGTTTGACGCAGAAATGCCGACCATCGAGAAGCTGCTGTATCTGATGGAGTTTCCAGGCAATATAACGATCACTGGCTTCCTCGTGTACCATGCTGTACTCAATTGTCCGTACGCCAGGGATGTGGAGACTCAGATTCATCTTTTGATTGGCCGGCAGGATTTTGGAGTAGCACAGAGACTCTACCAGAAGCACGGAAAGAGGACTCGTCATCTGCTGGTACAAACCATCGTATTCCATGGCGCCTGCATAGTGGTTGACATTGTAAATTACGACTTCAACTGGTGGACTACCTGGAGCAGTAATAGTGTATACAATTTGCCTGCTCTGATGATAAGCCTGGGTGTGCTTCAATACGCCCTCGCCGTGCACTTACTCTGGCTGTTGCAGTCACATCTCTGTCATTGTCTGGAGCAGCTTCAAAAGCGACGAAGGCCGCCACAAGGTATCGTAAATCTGGATGCCCGGTACGATCGTTTCTTTGCTTCTCTCGTGGATGCTGGCGGATGCTCTTCTCTCGTGCTGGAGGAGCTGCGCGCAACGTACACTTCTATAGATCGCCTGCACAGGCAGCTGCTGGACAAGTTCGGTCTCTTCCTGCTCCTCAACTTTGGAAACTCTCTTTGCAGCTTCTGCGAGGAGCTCTACATGGTCTTTAACTTCTTCGAGCGGCCGCAATGGGCCGCGGGCATGTTATTGTTCTACCGAATACTGTGGCTGGTCATGCACGGCGGACGCATCTGGGTGATCCTGGCTGTCAACGAACAGATGGTGGAGCAGGAATGTCAATTATTCCTTCAGCTCAATCAAATGGAGGTATGTGGCAGCCATCTCGAGCGCACCATTAATCGTTTCCTGGTACAGCTCCAGACGAGCATCGGGCAACCCTTGCTCGCGTGCGGCGTCATCGATTTGGACACGCTGGCAATGGGTGGGGTAAGGACCTGGAACCAATTAACCATTTTGTTAAAACAATTAAAGCATTTCTCTGTTCATTAACAGTTTATCGGGGTGCTGATGGCCATTGTGATATTCCTAATTCAAATCGGCTTGGGGAATAAATCGCTAATGGGAGTCGCCCTCAATCAATCAGGCTGGATTTACATTTGAATAAATTGTCTCAACCATTAGCTTGAGTTATCATTTGGTCAGCGTGGCTATAAGAGTGACGCCTCAAGTCGCACACTTTCATATCGGTGGACATAGAATGTATGAGCTAGCGATCATCATAATTTTGGGCGGCTCGGGGGCTGTGCTGTAACCTTTGAACGGAACGAAAACTTTAAATTTTGAATACGATAAGCCGCGCCGGTTGTTTTTAATACTTGGTATCGTTCTGCAAGGTACTCGATAGTATATCGGTATCGGCCAGGGCTGTCAGCGCTTTTCGAGCAGGCTGCGGGTTATATTTTTTGAATTGAAAAAAACCGTTTTTCATGGAATTTTTTAACCCAATATTTTATTGTTGTTGGATTTTGTAATACAGGAATCGGATACTTTTTTCTTTTACAGTTTTCAAAAGAAATCACTTATCAGTTGTTTTGATAAGCTTATATACGACACTATTGTTTTCAATTGCCGTACATCTGGTACAATGTGATTGTTTGATAAATGGATACCACTATCTGGAGACGTATGTACATATATACGCCACTTGGCATTCTGGCATTGAAACAGATATAATAAATACATATGTATATATAAGCTTGTCATATATTAATTATCGGAACGAATTTTCATTACTGCAAACCGCGATAGAGATACATATGTCTGATTGGATGACTTCCAAGTAAATCGATCTGAACAACAGACACGACAAGGAAGAGGATAAGGCTAACACAGAAATTCATTTCAAGCATCGCTGGAGTCTCATAAATTTCGCGCTATAAATGTCTGCAAATAAAGAATCTACTATATGCCCAAGAATTGTAAAATGCTTAAGCTGAGTGGCGCAGACCGGGAGGGAGGGATGAAGCAATTAAGTGAATCGAATAAAATACTTTTGTACAATATATATATGTATGTATGTATGTACATACATATGCAACGTCAATTACGACATTGACTTTGAAAAGTGCGCCTTGAGATCTCGGCTCTCCGGCTCTTGTCTGGGGACTCGAGTCTCGGGTTAAGTGGTGTGTCTTGGTGCATCAGCAGTAGAGAGCCGGACCGGAAGCGAGTGCCCGGGCAGACTGTTATGTTGCATATCGCGTGGCACATTATCCTACCTAAAACCTGTCCCTACCTGTCGTCGCCGTCAATTCAAAACTAATTAGCTGGCAAGCGACGGACATTCGCATCCTATATAAGTACATACAGATGTACATATGTATCTATGCGGAAAAGGGAGATTTATGATATGGCCATTTTGGCAGCCGGACAGACAGATTGTCGAGACGGTACGGTAGCAGATCAGCATTAGTTTTATGGTTTCCCCAGCTATAATTAGAATCGGTATTGGGGGAAATTCGTCAACCTGGTCGCCGTTGTGGTCGCCTCGGGCGAGCTGATAAGCCGTCGGATTGCTCTAAGTAATAATAAATTCGATTTTAATGAAATGCTAAAAGTTCATACGGGCTATCAGCTACTGGGCTCGAGCCCTGGTTCAAAATCCAATTAGTTGCGTTTCGGGGATCTGTCTAATGTGGAATATGTCACCAGCAAGAAACACCAAACATGTTCCCAGGGGGATGTGATGTGTGTGGCCGAAGCACTTAGAGTGGTGCAGATTTCAATGGTACATATATGTATAAACTTTAGCAACCCCCTTAAAACGCTGAGCAAAACCTAGGGGGAGGTTCGAACAAAAACAGAAAGCAATAAACGACAGAGGGCACAAAAAACTGCGCAAAAGTCAAAGAGGCTTTTGTGCTGTCGATCGGCCATATGGAATATTGCATCCCCCGTGGCGATGCTGGCCAAAATAATTACACTACTGAAAGTAAATGGCGCATGCGCCCCTAAGTAAGCACCGCACCGCATCCTCACCCACCAGGCAGAGAGTACGAAACGGAGACGTCCAGCGAGCGACTGTGACATGCTGTCTCCCTCTCTTCTTGCATGCTCAGACCTGAGCGATCATGTCTTGCTGGGCCCACATCGTTCAGATTCATTCGACTCGTCGACGGAAGCAGTCGCGTCAACCGACAGCCGTCAAACCGATTGCAAAGAGCGCGTGCGTGCGTGAACCGTTTCACGGACGGAACAGAGGCCCTGGCTTCCAGTAGAGCTACTCTTCCGTTAGTTTACCAAGATTTTTTTGTGAGCCATAACTCTGTGCTGTGCCAAGGGGCAAAAAGCTAAAAATAAGTGCAACCTGTGTCTGTGCCTTTATCGGAAGAAAACTGATAAAAAAATAAAAAAAAAATACCAGCAAGTTGGGAGAACACACATTATCTCTACTGTCTATAGGGAAAAACTCGTTTCGAGAAGCTCTTGTGCAAATTGCCAATCAATTATATGTAAAGAAGGAAAAGGCAGCAAGCAACCAGCAAAGAAAATATACATACTATATTGTGTGTACATACGAGTTCGCTTCTAGGGAAAAGTGTCTAAGGGCATCTCGCATTCCAAGTGGTTTATCTTGATGTCAAAGCTTATCTCGCTTAGCCTCGAGAGCTCTCAGTGAGGGTGTTCGTTCCGGCAGTGTGTTTTGTGTCTTTGTGTGTTTGTGCTGTGTTCAGTGAGTGCGAGGGAGAGTCAATACAGCAGCAGCCGAGTGGACCAGACAGACAGTCGTCCAAGAGCGCGCAAAATCAGATCATTTAACTGAGATTCCAACCGATATAGGGACGGCTTCCGCTTGATCAATTGTGCGTATCGTATCCCCATTATGACAGCTGAGACACTCAAGCCGTTTATAACACCAACGAGTGCCGGCGGCGGCTTCCCGGACAAGCAATCGAGCGCCGCAAAAGCCCAGCGTAAGACGCGACAGCTCATCCCGATTGTCTTGGGTGTAGTGGGTCTGGCCCTGGTCGTTGCCATCCTTAGCTTAACGGTAAGTCTTGAAGGTATAAGAAGTGATCGATTTGTGTTGTGTGAGCAATCGGTAATCAGGGAGAATTCCCCATAGATATGAGAATTTTGCAATTCACGGGTGTACTAAAAAGCGTAGTTACATATCAATTGATTACCAATTGCAAACGAGAATCGAATACTTTCCAAGATACCGCCTTGAACCACTTTAAACCGGTTCTCATTCCCCCCACATTTCTTGAGAAAGAGTGTTTCAGTAGCTTGACAGTATCTAAAGAAAAATATGCAAATTGGACTTCGGCATACTATATATGTACATACATTTGAATCTAGATAGACTCCCACCAAAATCGTTATCTAAGAACGAATATTTAACCTCTGGCACGCTTCTGCCTTTAAAGATCTTTGTCATTAAGACTTTGTTTATGCCAATTATACATATATTTATATACATAAATTCACATAAAATGAAAATAAACAGCAAACAAAAAAACACAGAGTTTATAATGCATGACTGTCAGAGATATGAAGTCACGGTTTAGCTCTGTATAATTTGGCACCCGACTATATTTAGGTTGGTCGATGTCGATTTCGTTGTCTGATCATGGCATGTCGTCACCAACAAGTCTTTGGGCCAAATCGCTTCCTAATGATCCAGCCTAATCCAAACGAGCCGCAAGACAACAGTACAGCGGATGCAGATACATATGTACTCGATATGTA